TGCCAACTTGGGCCAGTGAAGCAACGTCCTCCACAACTAGACTGAAGAACAAAAGGATAGCAACTTGTCTGTTCCCCTTCCCCCAACTCCCCAATAAAAATCTTAAAAAAAAAAAAAAAGAAATGTGTGTCAAGGGCCGGCCAAGTGGCGTATTGGTTAGGAGTTGGCTTGGGATGCCATCTCTGTGCAGCAGGGCCCCGGTTCAGATCCCACATGAGGGCCAGTGACGCTGCACCCTCTGCAGCTAAGATGGTGAACAACAGCTCGACCTGGAGCTGGGCTGCCTCGAGTCGCTGGCAATGGCATAGGCTGCAGTGGGGCTGGCAGGCAGTGGGTGTGAGCTTTCGTGAGCTGCTATGAGCTGCCATGAGTGGCCATCCAATGGCCAGTGAGCAACTGCCTCACCGGGGAAGAGCGCAATGATAATACCAACATGGGCCAGTGAAACGACGTCCTCCACAACTAGACTGAAGAACAAAAAGACAGCAACTTGTCTGTTACCCTTCCCCCATTCCCCAGCGCTGTTCCCCTCCCAAATTCCCCAATAAAATCTTTAAAAAAAAAAAAAAGAAATGCATGTCAACAAGGAACCCCAGTAGCTGTGATAGGTTAATGTGAGGTGGCTGGGGTGCAAATGAAGGGCTGGCTGTGGTTGAAGAATGCACATGAAACAAATCCTCATAAGACAAAGCAGCATATCTGGTGAGGAAGTGGACAAAACAATGAGAAAAAAGCTAGTGACAAAAACTTACTCCAAGATCTCATCCATTCCCTTCACAAACATTGTTTAGCACCCACTGTGTGCCAACCACTGCAGAGTGCTTAGGAAGCAACAACGGAGTCAGTCTCCCTCTGGAACCCACAGTGGTGGAGGAGAGCCAAAAAAATAATGACAGTGCACAATGAGAAATGCCGAGACAGAGACCAGCAGAGGGAACAGTTTCCTCTGGCTGAGGTAGGTGGGGTAAACCTCACCAAAGAGGGGACATCTAAGCTGAGACTTGAACATGGAATCCATTAGTTGGCGATTGCGGTGCTAACAAGGACATTCCAGGCAGAAGGAACAGCCAAAGCCAGAGCAGATGCCAACAAGCACAGTCCGATGTCCAGCAGTGAAGGCAGAGGAGGATGAAGACCTGGGAGAGCGCAGGGAGCAAATGGCGCTGACTGCCCTGACCAGGGATGGGGGCTTCCTCCTGTGGGCGGGGGAAGCCAGTGACAGGACTCCCAAGGTTTGCCTTTGTTCAAGACTACTTTTGGGTAGCTAGTGGAAACAAGGAAACAGGAAACAAAACCACTAAGGAGGTTGCCTCAGAACCAAGCCAGGCTGAGGCCTGAGTCTGGGGCAGCCATGCGTGTGAGAGCTAAGCCTGAAGACCTGCAGAAAGCATCAGGACAGGTGAGGGCTGGGGAAGGGGGCACATTGCTACCTTGGGGCAATGAGGGACATCACTGCCCAAGAGAGTGGAAAAATAGAACATTCTGCACTACTTACCTGGTGAAACCCTACGATGCTTTCTGCTCCATACTCGCTCTGAATAATTGGCTTCTGATAGGTCCTATACCAGTTCTCAAACTGGGTGGCTAGCTGCAGCTGAATCACCTCCAGGTGCCCATAGTCATGATACCAGGAGTAGTAACTGTTCACACAGATGACGTCCACATACGGTGCCTAGGACAAGGACGGTAAAGCGTGGTCATGAACCAGAAGATTGTGTAACAGTGTCAGGACTCTCATACTCGGGGCTCTTCTGGCAAGAAGGTAAGAAAGAGAGGCAGAAAATGATTTAGAAGGGCAGGCCGAGTGGCGCGTTGGTTAAGAGTTGGCTTGGGACGCCAGCTCTGAGCAGCAGGTCCCCGGTTCGGATCCCACATGAGGGCCAGTGACACTGCCCTCTACAGCTAAGGTGGTAAACAACAGCTCGACCTGAAGCTGGGCTGCCGTGAGTCGCCGGTGACAGAGTAGGCTGCAGTGGGGCTCGCCGGCAGCGGGTGTGAGCTTTTGTGAGCTGCCATGAGCCACCATGAGTGGCCATCCAATGGCCAGCAAGTAACTGCCTCAGCTGGGAAGAGCACAATGATAATACCAACATGGGCCAGTGAAGCGACGTCCTCCACAATAGGACTGAAGAATAAAAGGACAGCAACTTGCCTGTTCCCCTTCCCTGATTCCCCAACGCTGTTCCCCACCCCCCACCCCCGGCAATTCCCCAATAAAATCTTAAAAAAAAATGATTTAGAAGCTTACAAATGTAGGAAATATACTCAAGAAGTGACCTGAATGGTGCCAGTCTATAAATCTGGACTGTGACTCCTACTGGGCTGCAGCGGGGCTCAGTTGAGGACAGAGCAGGCACCTAGCCAGCTGGCCTCAGTGGAAGGCTTGGGACCATCAAGACTGCATCCTGCTCCTCTCTCAGTCATGCTCCTGTTCCTGGTCTTCCCTTAACTGGCCCTGGAGAAACGTTCCCAATTGAGGGATAGACATAGTTCTCACAAAGAGTCTTGATTCACCATACCGTTCCTGAGCTAGTGCTGTAAGCCGTAAAGTGCCTAGAAAATTCCCTACCAGCAGGGCAGCCAATATGACAGGGTGGAATGGCCGCAAGTGTCAACAATGCGGCACTCAGGACTGAGCAGCAGACTAGGCAGGACAATGTCTAGTCTCTAATGTCACCTGAACACATGTACTGGGACTCATGTGGTCTGTCTTTTTCAAGTGATGGCCTCCTCTTTCCAAACTGTGGTGGTGGGAAAATGCAGACAGGAAGAGGAAGTGGGGGAGGTGCCTTTGGGTGGACACAGGTACATGGATCACATGTCCCACCAGATGAGTCGAGCAGCCTTTGAGGAGGCAGGCACAGGGGGCGAGGCACACGGAAGACTGGAAGCAGAGGAGATGCCCTCAGCTCCAACCACACCCAGTCTGGCACCCTACTGGTGTTTTACCACAGTCTTCATGCTTCTTTGAAGGGGTGTTCTTGACAGACAGCAAGGGAGCACCAGGGCTACAAACCTTTTCCATCCATGTTAAAATGAGTGTTCACAGTTTGTATTTGTATGTATGTTTTCTCATCCATTCTTTCTTTAGATAACTTCTCTTTCTGTAGGACTTTCCTCCTAAGTACTGGCCTTCGGCTCTCTAGGGAAGGAGCATTTTCTTGCTCTCATGGCTTCCAGCTTCCAGTACAACTGAACACATTGTTTCTGAGGGACTGCTATGCCCAGATGGTGAGAGGCCATGTGGTCCAGCCAGTTGTGTGAGCCTGTCCCTTCGATCTCACCTTGGATCCAGTAAGTGGTTCCCAATGCTGGCTGACAGCTGGAATCACTGAAGAGCTTTTGACATCTCAGATTCCCACCCAGGACTGACTAAATCAGAACCTCAGAATCCAGAGATCCGTGCTTGCAAAAAGCTTTCCTTAGTGGTTCTGACAGTCAGCCAGATTTGAAAAACACTGGACAATGATGACTCTTGGCTCCCTTAAACCTTTGCCATTTTATGAGCATAATAAACTCAGGTGCGTAAAATTAAACTGAGGTGCATAAAACACTGAGTCTGAACTGAGAATGGATTATATCTCCCTGTGCCCAGCCTCGTTGGATTTAGGAAGCCACAGTGCCTAGCAAATAAGCAGGCAGGTATCATTAACCTAGACCAGGGGTCGGCAAACTTTTGAGATGGAAGAGCCAATCCTGTCCCTCACAATAATTTAAAAATTATTCGAAAGCCATAAAACAAATGAAATCACCATTATGTGAATAATATCCTTTAAAAACTTTATAAATGAAACTATGACAGTTTTATTTTCATTTTTAATTTTACTTCAGAGCCACATGTACGTACCCAAAGAGCCGCATGTGGCTTGTGAGCCGCAGTTTGCCAGCCCCTGACCTAGACCATCTGTGAAAATGCTGGGCTTGGTGGCTCATGGGTCTTCCCCTTGCTCCGCCCTGGAGCTCCCCTGCTGCTGTGTCCCCGCCCACATCAGGAGGCACACACTATGCCAGGTGTTCCCCTAGTGCAGCAGGCCCAGCAGTCCCAGGCTCATCCCATACACCATATTCCCCTATTAACTATGTACCCCTAATGACCCGAGGCCCCCCCATCAGAAAGTTCACACCATACACGGTGTTCACTAGAGCCAGCATCAGACAGGACAGGAGGACAGGGAGGAGAGGGAAGCAGTATGTGGACCCCAGGCTCACCCCCAGGTCTACTTCATAGTTGGAGTTGGTCACAAAGGTCACCGGCCGGGAGGGGTCCAAGGCTTTGGTATGGGCAATCAGCGTCCTGTCCACAGAGAGCAGGAGACACAGCTGAGTCAGGCCGCGAAGGGCTCTCAATACCACCTCTTATCCTCTCCCGCCCATCTTCCCAAGACAAAAAAACCCCGATTTCCTCCCTAGCTTCAAGTGCATTTTAGAAAACAAGGATGTTCTTCCAGTGTTAGATCGTGTTCCCTGACATTATTCTTTCTCCCTCCCCAAATGCCACGCCCTCCCCGCCCCAGAAGAGGCCGCCTCGCAGGGGCAAACAGACACAGAGCTGAGGTTGTGGGCTGGGCACTGCCAACAACCAGGCTCTGAATCTAAAAACGCTCTTGAAAATAGGATGGATGCATGTGGATTAGGATGGATATTAACAAACAATTAGGGAGTTTGTGCTAGGAGGCAGGCTGTGTACTGTGTGCCAGGCACTCGTCAGAGACTTCAGCAGCTACATCCAAAGCCTCTTGCAGCAGAGGGGACAGGGCTTACAAACTACAATTACCAGTGGCAGCAGGAAAAGGGGTTCTTAAGACAGTACAGTGCACACAACTGAGAGTGGAGACTCAGTGACAGCCTCTGAAGCAAGGGCACTTATGCCGAATCGTACTAATCAAGGAGGGATGGCAAGAGCTTCCAGACAGAGGAAGCTGTCAGAGGCCTCCCTGCACAGGTCGCCCTCAATCGCTGTTTAAGCCTATTTTTCTCTTCTCTTTCCCCACAGCTGGTTTCCTTTACACCTGTGCCCCATAGTTGCTCTTCTCATTTAAGGCTGTAGTTTCCACAGGCTGGAACAGTGCCCCTTATTCTCAAGTTCCAAACCGACACTCTGAAATGGCCTGTTTGTCACCTGGGAAGCTTCAAAGCCTAGCAAGCTCCTCCAGCCAGGCTGCTCTCTCCAAATCCTGCCCCATCCCTGCTGCCAACAGGAACCTCAGGAACCCGTTCCTAGCAGACTACATACAACCCTTTCACCCTCACCACAAAAATTCTGCCCACCAGCCTGGCTCAGCACATCCCTGTGCCCCACACACTCAGGGGCTGTGTGTTCGGAGCTGTCCTTTGCCCAGCGGGTCACTCCCCAGAGCTTTCCACAGATGGGGTTCAGTTCAAAGCTCTCCAGAGGCAGGGATACAGAGTCTGCCTGAGGGAGTGTTTTGATGGCCCCTGCTGCCTCTGCAGGAAGTGAAATAATTCCCCTCTGCAGGCCAAGTCACAACTACGTGACTGTAAGAAACAGAAAGGGCCCAGGAACAACCCTAGGGCAGACCTTCCCACTTCAGGAACACTACCCAAGTAGTGTTTCTTTCAGCTGCAATGGCAAGGGAATGGGCAGGGCAGAGAGCAGGGAGTTACTGGCCTTCAGTGAATGGGACCATGAACTTCAGATGGCCTGGTCCTGTCCAACAATGTAACTTTAGAATAGTTAGACTATGCATGTCATTGCCAAACCTGTTTGTAATCATGTGCACCGGTAAGCTGGTTTTATAAAGCCTGACACCACTTTACAGATGAACCCAAAGTATCCCAAAGTGTTTTTCTGAAGTTTAAACACACATTAAATTTCCCAGGAATGGAGACAGCACTACAAGTGAGGGATGATTATATCTTGTTTTGTTTGGAACTTTACCTAGAGTGCTCACCATTTTGGAAAGGCGCTGCACTGAAGAGGACACTACTCATGGTCCCAGCACCAACAGGCACTACTGCCGTCAGCCTTTATAGCTATGCTTTCCGGAGATTCCACAACTCGGTGCAGGCCTCTGCCCCTTCACTGGGCTTTCTGGAGAGTCAGGCCTATGCATTCATGTATCATTTTATAAATGACTCTCCTTTAGATAGCAGTTTGTTTTCTTCATTTGAAATTATGTGTGTAAGTAGGTTATGTTAACTCTGGATTTAAATTCAGGTGTGAAAAGGGGACACTGGATCCCACCGGGTTAACATCACAACTTGGGTGGGTAGGGATTTGGTCCCCTGAACTGACTGGATGTGGATGTGCTCTCACGTCTGGGCTGAGCGGGGCCCACTCTCGCACAGCACTTGTCCACCTCAAGGTGGCCACCAGCCAAGGCTAAGCTGGGCCAAAGGTGAGGCCTCTTCCCTGACTCAGCCCGGGGCAGGTGGGGCACTCACTTGAAGTAGTAAGCAGCAGGTTTCAGGGAGGACGCAGGCTCGTTGGCCACAGACCACATCACCACTGCTGGGTGGTTCTTGTCCCTGCGCACCAGCTCCCCCATCACCTCCAGGTGGTGCTGCAGAGACACATTGCTGTAGCTCTGCCTGTGGGCAGGGAGGAAGGGGGCGTCACGACCACCTGTCAAGCTGAGCAGGCTGAGCAGCACAGGCGGTGGGCACTCACGTCAGCACGATGCCCACACCAGGGCTCTCGTCAATGACCACGATCCCATAGCGGTCACAGAGCTGCATGACCTCCTCCGCATAGGGGTAGTGGCTGGTGCGGAAGGAGTTGGCACCAAGCCAGCGAAGCAAGTTGAAGTCCTTCACCAGCAGTGGCCAGTCAAAGCCCTTCCCTCGGATCTAGAAGATAGCAAAGTAGAGTGACCCCCTGCCCCGTCCTTGTCCAAAATACACTTCCTCCTAGAACTGGACGCTCAAGAGTCACCCATTAGCCCTCTACCCAGCCCAAGCACAGGTCCCATCAGGTAGTGGTTTTGAGCAGTTTGCTTAAGTGCTCTGACATGCCCTCAACTGCTTCAGGGGTACAGGGAAGGTAAAGACAAGAAATAGCCCCCACAGGGACCCAGGACCCCAACTCACATCGGCATCCTCATGCTTGTTGACCCCATGGAAATAGAAAGGCTTCCTGTTAATGAGGAACTGGCTCTCTGTGACAGCTACAGTGCGAATCCCCACAGGGAGGGTGTAGAAGTCAGACATGGACCCAGCTGCTGTCTGTGCCGTCAGCCTCACCTACAAAGCCAAGCACTGGCGTGAGGCACTCTGGATGGCCTGAGCCCCACACTGGCCCACCCGTCAGCAGGAAGGCCTCTGGTAAACCACAGCAGCCCACCTCTGGGACGGCAAGCAGAGAGATGCAGAAATTACAGGCTCCTGCCATTAGAAAGGGGGAAACTTCCACCCTGCACCTGGGGTCTGCTCTTCAAATCTGGGCCACCTCACCAAGGGTTGAAAAAATCAGGCTGGGAACATGCCTGCCTACCCACCTATCCTGCACCCCTGCTGAAGCCAGGCAGGGCTGCTGGGTGGGCGCAAAAGGCCTCCCGTAGCCCCAGTCCTAACCACCATTACCTCCAACGAGTATAAGTAGGCAGGATGCTCATGCATCAGGTACGGCCACCAGAGGTGGGCATTGGGCACCTGCAGCTGGCCCTGGTCCCCCAGCCCCTGGGCCACGACTTTGCCGTCCTCGTCCAAAAGAGACACTTCCAGCTGGAAGTGCTCACTGCCCTGGACGAAAATCTGGTAATTCACCAGCCCTATGGGAGACAAGGGAGACAAGAGACAAGGGACATGACCTACAGCCACCACTCTGAGAAGTCCGCTTAGTTCCTGAGACCCCAGCCAACAACAGTTTATTTCTTGAACTTTATCTGCAGTGAGGAGAGATTGAGTGACAGCAGCATAGTGGAGAAGGAACAAGGGGTCCCCATGCATCCTGAGCGATGTGATTCTAGGCAAGCTCTACTTCTCATTGGGTCTTATCTCCTCACAAAATGAGGTCAGACCAAGTGGGTGTTTCTGAAGCCCATGCCAGCTCAGACGAGCTGGATTTTAGCTTCTCAGGTAGATGGGAACCTGTGAAGGTTAACAGGTGCTGGGAAAATCCTTCTCCTGGGGCATCGTTTCAAACAGGGAGCAGAGGCACTTTGGGCCTGGCTGAGGGCAGATGCTGCTGCGAGCCCTCACCAGTGTTTTGGCCCACATTGGTGGTGACGGTGATGTCATCAATATAGATGGTGGGCGTGGTGTAGAGGAGGACAGGCCGGTGCAGTCCCGCGTAGTTGAAGAAGTCAAAGTTTGTGTTCTGTACAAAGTAACCCTTAGGGTACCTAGGGTGGGAGGACAATGGCCAACTAGGCCTTGCCTGGAGTTCTTCAGCCTCACCCCTAAGGCTTCCCCACCCCCATGGGAAGACCACTGGCAGGCTGTCACTTGGATGGGGGGCATGATGCTTACTTGGAGGTATCAGTCTTGTAGAGGATGGTCCCTGGCGGCAGGGTGTAGGGGGTGAGTGTGTTGTTGATAGCGATAGTAATGCGGCAGGAAGACAGGGGTCCACTCTGGACCAGCTTGCTGATGTCGACCTCAAAGGGAAGATGACCCCCCTCGTGCTCTGCTACGTGGATCCCATTCACCCACTGCAGACACAAGGAGATACGGGGAGGGGGCAGCAGGCCAGAGCATGAGGAGGGGCACTTCCATCTCAGGCACACCCTCAGTGGTGCCCTGAGCTGCCACCTGCCTCACCAGCCTGATGAGAAGAATGGAGCTCCAGTGGAGATCAGGCAGCACCTCCCCACCCACCCCGGGCATAGACCCCAGTGTGGGGCATGAGCATTTCCTCCCCCATCCACCCCAGGGGTCAGGCTGCAAGTTGGCAGCTGGGAGCCAGAACCCCAAGGCAGCCCCAGGAGTGCCCAGCAGCTACACCTGCCCACTTGCCCTGCCTGCTGCCTGCTGCACTGACCACAATGGCGTAGTAGTGGGCACTGCCAATCCTCAGGACCACTCTTGTGCTCAGGTCCTGGGTCCATCGCTGGGGCAGGGTCACCTCCCGTTCATACCACGCCCAACCGACAAAGCTGCACAATTGTCCATCCTGACCCACGTCATTGAAGCTGGAGGGAACCGGCATGTCCAGGGTGGGGCCCGACTGGAGAAAGAAGGGCGGGGATCAGGTCCAGACCACCTAAGAATCTAAGGCCAGGTCCCCCAGCAATCCTGCCTGCAGGAAGAAGGCTCCTAACAGACCCTGGAATTCCAGACCACCCACCCCACCTTTGTTATTCTTTGCCAGCAAGTGACCAATGCCTTTTATGGAGCTCGTTTAATTCTCACAACTCCATGAAGTAGGCATCAGTCACTCACTCATTCAATAGACAGTAAGCACCTACAGTACTCTTCTAGGTGACAGGAATAACACGGTGAACAGGCCTTTGCTGTCAGGTGATCAGCTCTACGAGGAGTGTGGAGAGTGGCAGGGGACTATTTGGGAGTTAGGGAAGGCCTTTTGGGGCCAGGACCCATGGGATACTGCCTCAGGACAACCTGGCAGAACTGGGTGAACCTGAGCCCCGCAGGGAATCCCCCTGAGCCCTTCAGGTAGGAGGCTAGGCAGGAGTGGGGCAGATAGCTCAGTGAGCCTGGAAGCAGCCTGGCTTTCCTAAAGACATCTTGTAGTGGAGACGTGTGACCTCTAAGGAGAGGATTTCCTCTGTCCCTCACAGATGCATCCCCAACACCTGACAGAAGCCCTGCCACACAATAAGAACCCAATAAATAATGGCTGGCTGGATGGATAACTTGCTGATGAGAGATCAACTGCTAGGATGGTTTGTGTCCAACTGCTGGTGAGACCAAAAGTTCTTTCTCAAGGCAGCGAGCACCATAGTCTCCACTGAAAGGAGTGAGCCCAGGGCCACAACACAACCTGAATGAAGCAAGAAGCATCTGCAGAGACCAGACCCTAAGAAGAAGACGATCAACTGACAGCCCAGGGAGGGAGGAAGGCTGGCCGTGCAGGGGCTGCTTTGCTGCGGAAACTGTGAGTGGGGCACATGCCTGGCATCCAGCCCATGCCTTTCTTCCCTCCCACCTCCTCCACTCCTCCCCCACCCCCGTTTTCTTCCCCTGCTGAATGCTGGGAGGCAAAGACCGAAAAGAGGATCTAGAAGAGACGGGCACCGCATGGGCACACAGGCTTGTAGCTCCACTTCTCCGCCGGTCCAACCCAAGTCAGAGCGGAGACCTAGAGTAGGGTCTCTGGCTGGATGAATGCCAAGGCCGGTCTTCGAGCTGAACCTGGAATCCGAGGTCCTGCCTGCCAGGGCAGAGCTGGTCCCAAGATGTCCAAAGCCTGCCCTCCTCCCGCTGCCCGACCAGCTCGGAGCCGCGGACCCGGCTCTGGCTGGACCTCCCGTGCTGGACTCGGCTCAAGCGGAGGCCCTTTACCCCGCGCCCCACAGACTTTTGGTCCTGTACGCAGGCTCCGCCCACATCCTCCTTCCGGGTCGCCAGACACCCCCCCC